CGGTTTGCTCTGTAACAGTTTCCACTTTCGTAGTTTTTATTAAATAAGTAGGTTTTCTGTAAACATCACACAAGTTATGTTCTATTAGGATGAAGATAACTACGAAACTGAAGATGGGAGTGAAACAATAGCGTATGAATCGGAAGAAAGCAAATAACTTGAAAGACTTCTCTGCTGCAGTGTAGAAATGAAATCCTATCATTGATATTTGACTGTATTGTTCATAAGCTTCAGAGGTGAAAAGAAGTAATATATATTTTACAATGCAAAGCAGTGCATTGACTTTTGCAAAATGAATAAAAAGATGAAATGTTTTAGTGCATATTACACTTTAAGAAGAAAAGTGATTAAATGGTATTGAAAATGCTGATGTTTTTTAAGGTATACATAATTTCCAGTTAAACGCTGTTGAGAAGTCAGAATTTTTTGGAAAGATGCAGTTTATTTAGAGATGAAAATTCACTATTTCTTACTACTTCGCATAATGTTGATTATGAAGAGCTGTTTTTGGTTAGATAAAAACATTTTCCAGTACAGCAAGTTGAATATTAGAAATTTTTAGATGTAAAATCTTTGCAGGAGATTAAACAGCAATTAAAAATCTTACCTTCTGTTTACAGAGTTAATTGGTTATAATGGTGAAATTATTTTGAAAATTTTCAATTGAATACTACTAGTGCATACTTGTTAGCGTATATGCAAGCTTAAAATATTTTTTTATGCAAAAAAAAATTGTTATAACTGTTGTTTTTGTTGTTGATTATTTTCCTGCAGAAAACAGAAAACTTTTAAAAAATTGACTGTGTGATCTAATAGAGTAAAGAAGTTAGAAAGCTAAAATAAAAGAAAAGTTGGAATTTGAATGTATTAGCAAATTACAAAACCTTTTAACTGTTCTGTTGCACTTGTCTGCTGGTTCAGAATTATAACTGAAAAAATTACAGACACTGATTATGCAGCAAAAAAGCAATAATTTTTTATAAAACTATATTTTACTACTCGTAAAACTCAAAAAAATTTTTTTTTAAATGAACGTGCAGTAGCTTCTTATGCAGAAGTTACTTATTACAGACGGCACAAAATTATAAATTCCGGCGACAGCAAAAATCGCCAAATTTCTGCTACATTTAAATACTTAAACAATGCGTTTTGAATTGCTTCTTGCTTCCCAGATTATTAGTTGCTGTACGCTTTCTTGAATAATAGAGTGAAAATGCAATTTGCAATTTTTTTAATTCAAACGAACTGCTTCGTTACGCAAATGAATTTTTAAACTTATAAAAGCTGTTGTCATTTCAAAAATTAAATTTGAAAGCACAAAAGTCAGAGTAAAACGAGCAAAAATAAACTGTGAAAGAAAGAAATACAAGAAAGATTTATGTAACAGTTCTTTCCTCTAACTGCTATTAATTAATAACAGAAAGAAAAATTAACTTACAAAACAATTTTATTCACTTTTTTCTTACTTTTTGAGAAAACCGTTGTTGTGTAGCTGTTCAGCACTGACTTTTTTCCACTGCTGATTTTATGCTGTATAAAATTATCGCTAAAAAAAAAACGAAAATTTTTTTGATTGAGTAAACAAGCAGATGAAGTGTACACAGTTGGTAAATTTAATAAAGCATTCCGTTATAGCAAATGTTGCGGTTTACTGCCAAAAAAAACTAGCAGTATCAAAAACTTATGCGATTACTTTTTCGACAGTTTACCAAACAACACTGATACCACAGCACCTCCATGCAGAAGACGAATCAAACAAATCTGTATCCATTTCAGCGTCTTCGTTTTGATGGCATCTTCTCACATCAAAAATATATTGAAATCAGAAAGCCATAAAGAGTTTGCAAATTGACTGACGAAAGACACAATTAGCAGTTCATCTGTTTACCATTTTAATAGATCTATTTTAAACCAAAAAAACATTTCGTTGAACTGTGTCATTATGACGAACAGTGGAAAGTGATTAGAGCATTAGAAAAATGGTTATTTCTTTCTCTTCTTTTCAATTACTACAGTGTCTGTAAGCGTAAAAATTTATTTACTATTTGAAGAATGTTACTGATTATTTTACAACTAATGTAAATATGGCAATATTACCTACGCCCATTTCTCTTTTTCCTACTTTGAAGAACAATGAGGTATGAGAAATGAAAAAAGAACAGTCAGAGAATTTTTAAAAAGACAAGATGAATTACAAACTTTGAGCCTACGTTGACGGAACTTCAACCGTAGCATAGTTACAGAATTCGATCCCTCTCAGTTAAAAGATTTGGTTTATTAAGCACCATTGCGCTTCAGGACCACTAGCATCTATCTTCTTTGTAACATACAGCATCCTTGCTGCAAGCAGAAAATTAAATGATACGTAAACGAATATATTTATACAAATAGCAGCAAAAAAAAAAAAACGACGCGAAGAAGTCTTGGGAAAGCCAACCATAGATTTCTGGAGCTGCCCAAGAGAAAGTTAGTGGAAGTGTTGAACGTGCAATAGAAAGTTCATAGAAGTAATTTTATCATTATACTAAATTTGACATGTCACGATCTGCAGTAGTCTTATAGTACTTCAAAAAATTTGCTTTTTGACCCAAATTGTGCTTCAAAAAAAAAAAACTGTATTTTTATTGCAGTTTTATTCTCGCCTCGCAACTTCAACAACTTCTTCACCAATGGATTTGTTAAAAAGCAAAAAGAAGCAAACAAAAAATTTGGATACCATTTTTGCAAGGCAAAAAATTGAAACTTCCATTAAGAAAAAAGTAATAATTGATAAAAATATGCAAAATCAATTTCCTTCAAACTTTTTTTTAAAACTTTTACAAAAATTGACATTTAACTTTCTTCAACTACAGTAAAAATAAGACAAGCTGTTTTCAAATTTTTCTGAGTATGGAACCTGTTGGCTACTGAACAAAAAAATCTTTTAATTAATCAAATACACCCATCAGTTTGTACACTGCAACAAGAATTTATTTAGAGAATGAGTTACCTAAAATGAATTGGAAGCAGATTATTTATATAGTCCAGAACAGTTACGACTTTATTTCTGAGTTTATTTGAAAATAAGATTATCTTGTTAAAACTGTCGACAAAAACCACGGTTAAGCAGAAGTGAATAAATGCAAATTTAAAGATGCAATAACCAAGCTACATTTTTATTAGTATAAAAGAAGTTCTTAAAGTGTGTTACTGAGCTTGTTTTACCAATAACAGCTTTCAATACTGGTATTTAAAAGTAACATACGTAGTTTCTCTTAAAATACTATAAAACCACTGTATGCTGTCATATATAATAGTTACTGTATTGATGGCAGTATTTTTAGTAGTCTTCTCTTGTGCACACTGAAACTCTTCTGTCGTTTGTCGTTTGGTACCACGAAACAATAATGTTGCAACTTACTGCAGAGTTCTTAACGTCCAACATGAAATTCTCTGATGGTTGTCGGCCGAGTCAACAGCAACGAGTGATTCCTACTGTTTTAGACAAATTCTGCTCCACCTAATGTATTGATTAATATTAAAGTTATAAAACTGTTAGCTTGTATTAGTTTTCTTATTAGGTCATGTATTACAACTGATCTGTAAAATACAATAATCCTAAGACATTCTGAAAACGTTCTATCAGAAAGCCAGTAATAGTTGATTACATGTATAAAATTCAAATGACAAAATTTTTGTTTTGATTTACAAGAACATTAAGGATGAGATAAGATGTTTAGATGACTCGAGGGGTTTAAATCATCTATACATTTTTTGAAAAAAACAGTTTCTTTTGTCCACACATTCACCAAATACAGATTTTTCGTGCAAAATTTTGCTAATTATCTATTTTTCCAAAACAACCAGAACTCTGCCTTACTGTTTTTGTTTTTCTTCGTAATTTAGGCACCACCTTTTGAAAGCCCCTCAAGTAACTATAAATTAAATGTAAATGATCGTCGTTTAACAAAAAACATTATAAAAAGTTTACCGCATAAAATTGTGTTGAATACTGTAATGAGGCCTACCACACAAGTTTTACACTTAAAATTTTCACTTAAAATAAATGAATAAAAGCATGACGGAAGTGTTTGGTTAATGAGTATGGCCAAGATGCATAATGAAGAAAAAAATTAAATATTTAACATCGGACAAGATAAAGTTTAGGCTCAGAATGTTATGGCATTCGTACACTGATTGAAAAAACAACCTAATTTTTCCCAGAAAAACAGCACATACTCTTTATCTATAACCTTGTAATTAGAAATATGCTTTTCGAAGAGTGCAATGTGACTTTAATCCATAGACGAAATCCCTGAAACATTTAGGAAAACTCGAAACTGAAATAGGTGATAAAAAGATTCTTGAACTTTGGTGAACTCAGTAACTTCAAGAGAAGGACACCAACACCCCGCCGCTCAAAACCGCAACTACCGTCGCTTCTGAACTACTTTATTTTTAAACCACTTGTAAACTGCCTTTTATTTACTAAAAATAACAATGGTAGTATCCATGTCCTAGCAACAGTTCTTTTCTCGACACACAATCGCTACAGAATCACATATTTCTGTAATCTCGAGAGAAAAATAATAAAACACGTAACAAATCGTGTTATACCTTCATCCACAGTTGCACCTCTTCAGTTTAGTAAAATTGCAAATTCAGTCTTAAAAAAACATCAGTTTTCGGGAAAACACTTTTGCGAATTCATCTCTAGTCGACTCCCAGACCAAATATAGACAGGTTTATGTGACGTAGTCAAAACACAAGCTAAAAATTCAAAATGTAAAAGGATACATTTTCATCTCGTGACCTGCACAACTAACATATTATTTTTTTGGCTCCAAGCAAAATCAACAGGTCTAAGTACACACAAATACCGACTTCAGTCTTCAAACCCCAACCAACTTGTTTGCCACAAACACCAGAAGCTAACTGATTATTAACGAGCAAACATACAGATATGTGTTAGAGAAGTGACCGCCATTTGTTTCACAATCACGAAAACAACCGACTGAAGCTTAATTTACAACCAGCAACCCTTGCGAACTAACAAGGAATTTTTCTAAACAATCTTGGAACTTCCGTTTCTGACGTCGGCTGGCGACAGTTGAATTTTCTTGCGATGGTAGTAAAGCGGTAAACGAAGATTCCAGCTGACTTTTAGCAGCAGCGTTTTCTGCTCGATCAAGAAGTCGATTAACAAACGTATCAAATGCTGCCTGAAAAGGCGGCGCAAAAAAGTATAGTGGTATTATTTCAACACTGCCAAATAAAAAGCGAAACTACATCCATGCCAACCCTATGACGCCAAGCTTTTGAATAATATGACACAAACTCTGAAAATAAAAAAGATTTCTGGACTTGAAACTACGTCTGCTCTGAAGCTAATCTCTAATCACATCTTTCTAAAACCTCAAGCGGATCCTCCCCTGGCAATTCCATAAATCATGGCATACCAAACCACCAAGCACTGTTCAAAATTTACAAGAACATTTAGTGTGGCATTTAAAAGCGAAGATTTCACCCTGGTTTGTCAAGTCGAAAGAGCAGTAAAGAACGTGTCCACCTTGCGAACTAAAAAAGTTACGTCTTTTTTGAAACACTTACCCTGTCACAACATATAAGAGCATACAATGCGAAGGACGCTTCGGTGAAAACATTTGCCTGGCAACTTGCCTCTAGGCAGTAGTTGAAAGTCGCCTAAATAAAAAATA